TACAGCAGTTGAATTATAGAATTTTAGAAATGAAAGGGAGCTTATGGCACTCAAATGGGTAGTATCTCTCCTCAAGAAGGAACTTCGAAATGTGTGAAAATGTTTTTGGTTGTTCTGATCACTGAAAGAGGGCATGATAAGAGGGCACCAAGAATGCTAGATATTCTGTAATGTGAAGGGTAGTTTTGCTAAAAATTGTCCTGCCCCAAGCACCAATAGCATACTTGTTGAGGCACACCTCGATGTTTGCCTCTTTAGATGAGAGAAATCAGAACCAAGAAGACAAGTGACTTGTTCAAGGTCACACAGTTGGTCAGAGACTGAACTAGAACTGCACCCCACGTGCCAGGTTAGCACTATTTCTACTAATTATTCTAAGGTTCAAAGACCAAAAAGTTTTAAGGACAAAAGTAAATCATCTCTATTGGTAGAATATTTGGAACCTTGATAGAAAAGGCAGAAGAAATATTTTGCATATGGCGGTCTGCACAACTCTTATTAAATTGCAGTGATATAAGCAACTATTTCCTCTGGTCTTATAAATTCAGCCCTGTGTAGAAGGAGACCAAATAAATGTATATACATAACTCTGGCTTTCATCACCTCAAATCTTCTATGAAATGAGATATGAAAAGTGGAGAGAAAAATAGAAAGAAGATATAATTAGAATGAGTTCTGGTTTTGTGGTTTAAAAATAAAAATATATTAAAATAGTTTTAAATATAAATTTTCAGACACAATATTACATAATATCCCTACATAAAAGCTTTTCATTCTACATTTGCTTTCTAGAAAAAGCTTACTAAAAATGTTTTAAAAATAATTTTCTAAGCCAATTCAAAGGATACCTATTCAAAGTCATATAACACATTTTTCTACATACTTTGTTTTATTTAGAAAATATAGTAATTGGCTCTACAGTTTTTAGAAGTTAACATGCATGGTATTTGAATCCTTTATTATTCACAGTTATATTGATTATATTGGTATAAAGAAGACAAAAGCAGATGAGAAGTAACTCAATCTAATGTCTTAATAAAAAAACAGCCAGAATGTATGCGGAGCATTGTCTCTCTTCTAGGCAACTGGAAAAGGACATTGGCCAAGTGGAGCACACACTGGGGATGGCCACCCAAATGGTCAAGGGATAGAAAGCCACCCAGTCACTTGAAGGAACAGGAAACATTTAGCCTCGATAAATGAAGCTGCCAAGTGGGACAAAGTAACTGGCCTTCACTGTTTGAATGGTATTGCAGTGGTTGAACATTTTTGTTGTTGTAGAAATCTTCAAACATACAAAGAATAAAAAGAATAATATAAGCAACTCCATGGATCCATCACTGAAGTACACTATTAGCAATATTTCAGCTAATTTCAATTTTCTGAACCCCCACTCTCTTCATCTTGATTATTCTGAAGCCAATCTCAGACAGTATGTCATTTCCTTCTAGAACTCTTCATTATGTATTTTGTAGAGAATTTATAAAAAAATTGTAGTAGAACTCTAGTTACTGGGTAGAAAATAGAACAGATTTCAATTAAGTATAAGAAATAATTCTAACAGACATATCAACTATAGAGTGGATTGCCCTGGGAAGTAGCAAGTTTTTTTAAAATTTTGTTTTATTGCTTAAAATATTACAAAGAGTATTATATATGTCTCCTTTTCCCCCCCTTCTTGACATTCCCCCGGCTTTCCCTATCTCCCAGTGTCTTATGTCCATTGGTTATGTTTATATGCATGCATACAAATCCTTCGGTTGATCTTTTACCCCCCCTCCTGTCCCCCAATCCTCCCCAGCCTTCCCGCTGTAGTTTGATAGTCTGTTCCATGCTGCTCTGCCTCTGTATCTATTTTTGTTCATCAGTTTATAATGGTCTTTATTATCCATAAATGAGTGAGATCATGTGGTATTTTTCCTTCATTGACTGGCTTATTTCACTTAGCATAATGCTCTCCAGTTCCACCCATGCTGTTGTAAATGGTAAGAATTCCTTATTTTTTACAGCAGCGTAGTATTCCATTGTGTAGATGTACCACAGTTTTCTAATCCATTCATCTGCTGATGGGCACTTAGGCTGTTTCCAGATCTTCGCTATGGTAAATTGTGCTGCTACGAACATAAGGATGCATATATCCTTTCTGATTGGTGTTGCTGGAAAGTTTATTATTAAAGAGACTCGACGCCCAGAGCATGAAATTGCACGAGTCCCAGACCCACTGCACTGGTGGGTCGTGGGACCCCAGACCCACCATGTGTGAGTAGCTCATCACCGCGAGCTCTGCCTCACTGTGCGAGCTGTGAGCCCCTCCGCACCCCACACACTGTGAGCCCCACCTCACTGCATGAGCCATGAGCCCCACCCTGCTGTGCTACTTTAGCTGTGAGCCCCACCCACTGTCACGAGCAGCTCATGGGCTGAGGGGAAGGACGGAGAGGTGCTCCATGGACCCCCTGGTGACCGGTCGTTTGATCATTACTGCATTACGGCGTTACAGCCACTGGCCTTTTATAATATAGATATTTAAGTCAAGCCTGGATAATCTACTTTTCGGTGGTATAATAGTGGAATTCAATCACTGGACTGATGATTGGACTTGATGGTTCTCATATTTTTTTTCCATAGAGAAACGTAAGACAGATGACACTGAACTGCTCTGCACACACTCATATATGATTTCCTGGAAGCCAGAACAATTTCTTATATTTATCTCCCCCACCCTGCCACCAAGAGAGTACATTAAAATGCAAGTAAAGTGAGAGGTTGTTACTATAGAGATAGCTTAAATTTGTTTTAATTTATTAGAAATGAAAATCAAATCCTTCACAAATTCTGATATTTTTAACAGAAACAAATTATTGGGACCCACTCCACAATGACCCTTGACATCCAGTGGGTCCAAAGCTCTGAGAGTGAGTACCACTGGAGCAGCTGACCGTTAAGGCCCATTCTAACTACGATTCTGTGAGCAGAGCATATCCAATTTCTGCTCACATAGGAGTTACTCACATGGAGAAGTTGGAAATGAAGGCTCCTTTGGGAATCTGAACATCAAACACAACATTCTGAGGCTGTGGGGAGTTGTTCACCACTTTGGTCTGAATCATGGTGTTGGCCATACGAGAAGTAATAGTGGATTGGACTTTGTAGCTATAAAGAGTTACTTGATCAACATCTTCCTGTTGACAAGAAAGCATAGCTGTACTCAGAAAATAATTACACAGAACCTCACTATGTATTTGATGCTAAGAGTAGTACATCTTATTATGAACAAGTCTAAGGCATTATTAAGTGTATATCTCAGGTGGGTATTATCAAGCATTCTCCTAACTTGAAATACCCCCCTGCCCCCACCCCAGGCAGAAGTTTGACTTTATTTTGAGATATCTTGACATGCCTTTCAGGTTTATATGTCTATTAATAATGATTTTTAAAGGTAGAACACAAGTAGAAAATGGTTGTGGGAAGCAAGATTGGATTGGAAAAGCCCTAGAAATAACTTCAAATGCAGGGCCATAGTGAGAGAAAGGATACAGCATTGCAGGGTTGGAAGGGGACCTTGGCTGCACCTCCAGAGTGGGGTGCAGCCAGGGTTATGGTGAAGTGGAAGACACACACGGTCTCCATACTGCTGTCTATCGTCTTTGATTTTATGTATTACAATTTAATCTTCTCCCAGTCTTCTTCTCCTTCCCCAAAGAAAGACACTGATAGGTGAGAACACTGATAAGCACTCTGGACCCCCTTTGCCAGTCCTTCTCTCCTCAATTAAGGCAGCCACAGTGTAAAAGGCTATAGTTTATGAGCATGCTCAAGGCAAGGGATTACAAACACATCGTTTTTTGGAGGTGCCTAAGAATTGCAAGCTGCTTCAGGACTATGGCAATGTAGCCCCATTAGATTTTGCTTTTTTTCTTCAAAAGGATTTGCTTATTTCAATACTAGGTGTCATCCCTCAAGCTTTCTCATTCAAGATGAAACCTTTCAACTCAACATCCAGCTAAGATAAAACCCAGGCTGTTATTTGTCCTTGCTACTCCTTAAACCTGTGCTTTTCACAATTTCTGTCAGTTCAGAGCAGGAAGCCAACACAAACCACTTCCTTTTGATACTTTCTTGCCACGGGAAACACGACCTTGAACATCTCAGGGAATCGAGCCATTTCATTTTTAAGAGTTCCTTTCCCACACTCTTTTACCTCCAGAGCTGTGAGATGTCATATTTGAAATCAAAACTGTTAAGCTGGAATAAATATATATGCTTGGATGAAATCTATGTTGGCAAAACGTAAGAAAATAAAGAGAAAGGGCATTTTCAACTCTTGGTAACACCTCCTCTGGTTGCTTGTACACGGTTCTCTTTCATGCTGAGTTTTAGACACACTTCCAAACAGAATTGGGCAAGAGGGTATTTCGAAAGTCAGGTAAATGCTCTCGGTGATGGAGACAAAGGGGGTAACCGTGCTGATTTCTAGATAATAGGTAACAGAAAAATCATTCAGGTATCAATATTTAACAAAATCAAAGTAAACTTACCATGGCTTCTCCAGATTCTCCAGAAACACTTCTCTGTGAAAGGAAGTTAGATAATCATTCTTCAAAAGTGTGTTACTTATTACCTTGAGGGCAAAAACTGCTTTCTCTCAGTTAAAAAAAAAGTGTTCCCCCCTCGCCCCTGCAGTCCTGAGCTATAATCTATTCATTGGAGCCAAGACATAACTATCAAACATTCTGGGATACTATTTCACACTGGCGTGTTTCTCTGAACAAATTTCTCAGCCCCCTTTGGGTTGCATGCCCATCACTGTTTATATAATGCTAAAACGAATGTTTCTAAATGAAAATATCCAACCAAACTCATGCTGAGTAGCATATTTCACCTTCAACCTTTTGCATGATTGATTTTTTATTCAATTGGATGGTTGTTGGGTGCTTTTTTTTCTACCATGGGGCTCTGGACATGCCATCCCATTGTCTGCAATGCTCCCCCTTCCTGGTCACCTCTGTCCCCTCCCTCAATGTCACAACTCCTATTCCTCCTTCAGATCTCAGCTCAGGCAGAAGTTTCTCAGTGAAGTTCTCTCTGACCCTCTCTCATCCCCAGACCAGGTAAGCTTCCTTTACTAAGCATTTCATAGCAGCATAGCCCTTCTTCAAAGGAAGATAGTGGGAATATGTGTCTGTCTCCTCCATTAGACTAAGCTCCATGGGAGTTGGGATTTTGATGTGTTTTCTCCTTGGTGGAGCTAAGCCTGGTGACTGGCGTGTGGAATCTCTGTACCCTAACTGCTCTGCTAGGGAATTATCCACAGGAAAGATTGTCCTGTGGGCATGGAAAGCTGAGTGCCTTTAGAGTGATGGATGAATATTTCATGTCTGGTGAAGTTTAAAATAATAATCCAGGTGTTGGATATAAGCTTAGCTTGTTGCCTGATTTGGGGTGAACTGAAGTTTTAAGAGGTATTACATGACATAATGAGTCAACAGTTGCCTCTTTTTAGACTTTTCAAGTGAAATTTTCAATGACTACATTTTCTCTCTTGTGGGAGATGAAGACCCTGACATGAGGGCTTGCCTATTGGGTTTTAATGTTATTGGTCTACAAAAAACCTGGACTTCTGGAAAGTCAAAAATTCATACCCAAACAAAATAAGTCACCAGTCAGCTTAGCGTTGTTTCCATAAATACCTTTCTCAGAATGTAGGCTCTTTGGGGAAGAAGCCAAACCCTTCCTGGCTCCTGGAGAACTCACCCCCACGAATGAGAACATCTTGTCTAAGCTGCCTCTAGAGTGCAGGCCGCAGTGTGGCCAGTTCTCTGAGCCACTCCCATGCTCCCTGAGCTACACCCCAAGAGAGCAGTGACCAGAGGAAAGAGAATGTGTAGCTGCAAGTGGGACATACCTGCCACCACTGGGATGGGAAATACCCCCCTATGAAGAAGTTCTTCCTTATCAGGCAGTAAAATCATTCCATAATCTTCAAGTTTAAAGAAAACACATAGCTGTATATCCTTCAAGGGACTAAGGTGGCCATTAGTCCCTTGGGGGCTCAGGGACAGCTGCATAGAAGTCTCTGTTGATTTTTACCTTGAAAATGCTTCCACTTGCCTGTAAAACCACCGGGCTCCTTTCTGCTTAAAAAACCCATGATCTCTCGAGAACATCTAGCAAAAAGTATCTTAATCTTTCTCCTACTTCTTCAATCATGGTCTCTTTTACTTATTTTCCCCTTTTGGAACTTAAGGCTTACTGTACCTGATGCCTCCGGTTCTCGGGCACAAATTGAAATCTGCCTGGAGCCAGTTCCACAAGATCTTCATATTCTGCAAACTTAAAAAAAGTTTAAGATGTTTATTTATATTAATGAAAACAATTATTAATTTTTTATTAATAGAGCAAAATAAGCAGGTGGTGACAGACATGAAAGTATTCATTATATTATTTTATCTTATTTCCTATACCTCTGGGCAGTCTCACATTTTTACATGAATATTTCTTTAATATATTTATGTTTGCTAGTTATTAAGTGGAAGAAATTCATTTATGAGTTTGCCTAAAGATGATGTGACATAAGGTAGGAGTAAAAGTAACCCACGGTTCAAGTGTGTGTCTGGGGGAAGTAGTGGGTAGATCTTGGCATCAACAGTGTCTGCCTGGATAAATGTGAACCATTATCCGCTGGATTAAGAATGTTGATATAAAAGTAATATCAGTAAGATGTGATAGAAAAAACACAAACAAATGTGGATGTGTTGGCTTTAATTCCGGTGGTTTTCAGTACACTCCAGTGTTTTTTAAAGTGTTGGGAAATATGGAAGTTTCTAAGCAGACAGAGTGATCCTTCCTCTCCCCGCAAATAGGCTATCCTGTTTTTTGGCATTTTTTGCAGACAATCCACTCTGCAAGTATTACAGTCTGCGGCATCTCCCAGGATATTCCCATAATACATGCTGCTTTCTGGCATCAAAATAGCTTTTGTATGACTTTCAAAATGACTCAGTCCAAGGTTTTTCTTATGTAGGGATGGCCAAAGGGCCAAAGTGAAGACCTTGAGCTCTGGGAATAATTCCTGCACTCCACCAGCCCACTTGCCACCTTCCCCTTTAAGAGGAATATTTAACATGCTCTTATCACAGAAATCATTGTCCACGTAGGTATGAAAAACAATAGTGCTTTGATAATGACTTTTATTCTCTGTATGAGTGATAACGACATGTCATCATCAACATCATCATCATAGCTAATAATTATTAGGTGCTTTCTGGTGTTTGCCCTGGGCTAGATAATTTACATATGTCATTTAATTCTCAAACATCCTTTGAGGTGGGTCAATTATTATTCCCATTTTTTTTAGATAAGAAGCGGGCAGCTGTACTCCATAAATGTTACATGATGGGGCCAGCACATTGAGCTTGACTTCATTCATCTCATTTGAAACTGTTAATGGTTTAAAAAGTAAATACACAGTCCAGTAAATATAACAGTGAATACTTCTACTCAGATGAGTTTATCATAAATTTCCTTTCCACCCCAAAGACAGTCCTTGAAGAGCAACAGCAACAGGCTAGTTCCTGAGCATCTGTATAGGCAAGAGCAAAGAGGCTTCTGCAAGTACTTACTTCTGGGAGTCCATTGGTGGGGATTTCGAAGGCTTGTGCCTCGGAAAGAAAGAACCAGACGAGAAAGCTCGTGAGCCATTGCATCTTGCTGGGCAGCTTGGCCAAGGGCTCCAGTGCAGGGTCTGGGGAGAATTCCCCTCTCACCCAACGGAGTTCAAAGGAACAGCAGAGGAGTGCAGTTAGATTTTAAAAAGTAGAAAAAAGAGGAAGAAAGCTCTCAAACTTTGTTCAAACACGGGACAAATATTTGTTCTGGAGTTCAAACACGAGCTGAGGGGGTGGGTTGGACACCCAGAGGTTATTCAAACAGCAAGGCCAGAGGCAGTCCCTGGGCTGTGAGAACCCTTCAGGCTCGATGACATGCTGCCTCCACTTCTGCTTCTTCTGCTTCTTCTTTTTTCGCCTCTGTGGATGTTTGTTCCTCTTAAAATTAGAGAGGCCTAGAGATAAGTGCCATCCTCCTTGAAGGACCAAGAGAGGAACTGTAGTGAGAAACAGAGGCAGAGAGAGAGAGAAAAAAAAGCTAAGTGAAGTTTCTGGAAACAAAATCCTTTGATTAAAATGAAAGAAGGAGGAATTTAGCAAAAATGGGAGACAAAACTGAATGCTTTTCTGAGCAACGCATTCCTGGTCAGTGTTTTCCCTCTCTTTGGTAACTGAGTACCTATCACACGCGGAGAACTGGGCGGGCAGCGGTGCCGGATACAAAGGCCGCTCTTCAGTGAGGACGCTTCATGGGAGTGTGATGGAGAGAGCGGAGTCCTTCCCGCTGCCCTGGTCAGCCTTTGCTCAAGTCCGAGGCAAGTCAGTCCTCCCCAGTCCCAGAATCCGGGGAAGCCCAGCCTGGAAGCAGAGTGTATTATTCCTTCCCATTCACAGTCTGGATAGAATAATAAAGTCAAGTAGGATCTATTGAGCTCTGCCTGGTGCCAGGCACTTTTACTTTCATGATTTTTAATTTTTTTTTTTTTAAATCTATAAAAGAGTTGCCGAAACCGGTTTGGCTCAGTGGATAGAGCGTCGGCTTGCCGACTGAAAGGTCCCAGGTTCGATTCCGGTCAAGGGCATGTACCTGGGTTGCGGGCACATCCCCAGTAGGAGATGTGCAGGAGACAGCTGATCGATGTTTCTCTCTCATCGATGTTTCTAACTCTCTATCTCTCTCCCTTCCTCTCTGTAAAAACTCAATAAAATATATATATAAAAAAAATCTATAAAAGAGTCATGTGATGTGTGTGCTGTATTTATCCTCATTTACAATTGAGGAAAATAAGGTTAAATAATTTATTCCACATCTCACAGTTGGTAAGTAGAGACAAGGATCAAGGTCGGCCTGACCCCAAAGCCTTTGCTCTTCAGGACTGAGTCCAAGGGAAGCAACCTGCCGCCCATCATTGGGATCCAATGTCCCAGGTATGAATTTACCTGTAGTCCCCAACATAGTCTCCTTGATGAGCCCGTTTCTTGAGCCTCTCCTGCAGACATCTGCTTCAACAAGGCCAGTGCTGTGCACCCCAGAGTTGGGAGAGGCTCCCGCCACTGCCGCTGCATTCACCAGCTGTGAGCCCAGCTTCTGGCTGAGCAACACTCCCCCTGTGGGAGAGCACTGACCACCAGGGGGCAGCTCCTGCATTGAGCGTCTGCCCCATGGTGGTCAGTGTGTGTCATAGTGACCAGTCTTTCTGCCGTTTGGTCTATTTGCATATTAGCATTTTATTATATAGGATATTTTGAATGACCTCAGAACAACCAAACTGAGGGCAGCCTGGATCAGTCTTCTCTTTTCATGCCGATAGCCTATCTCCAAATTCCAAGGTCTTGGACAGAATACCATGTTTGACCTCTTAATGTTTAGAACAGTGGTTCTCAATCTTCCTAATGCCGCGACCCTTTAATACAGTTCCTCATGTTGTGGTGACCCCCAACCATAAAATTATTTTCGTTGCTACTTCATAACTGTAATTTTGCTACTGTTATGAATCATAATGTAAATGTCTGATATGCAGGATAAATTTTCATTGTTATAAATTGAACATAATTAAAGCATAGTGATTAATCACAGAAACAATATGTAATTATATATGTGTTTTCTGATGGTCTTAGGAGACCCCTGTGAAAGGATCTTTTGACCCCCAAAGGGGTCGTGGCCCACTGGTTTAGAAACTTCATGGCTCCCTACCAGTGTAGGTGTGTATTCAGGTCACTGGGTCCTGAATGTGGGACTCTCCCACCCCACCTCGGCCTGGGCAACTGTAATCCAATGAATTAAAAGTATCCACTGTTACTTAAACTCTCCTTATTTATAGGATGGCAATCATTACTGCAAATGCCATAATAATATCCACTTTCATGTGTTAGAAAATCGGTAAGAAATTTAAGATAATTTTTTTTACTATATTTCATAGTGTTTAAGCAAAACAGTAACTCATTTAGTACTCAATGAGAATTCTAAGGAATATCAATAAACTTGAGGTTTATGACTCTGAGTATGTCACTGTGGCTTAACTAACAGTGTGGCAATAGCCATCAGAGACTTATAAAATTCAGTTCTAGTTCAATCATTGTGCAAGTATAGTTTTAAAAGTCCAATGTCAAAGGTGAACTAATTTACAGATAACTGTATCTGATCCTCTACTTCTTGTTCATTAGTTCAGATGAGACATAATCTGGAGAATGTCAGTTTTCAACACATATTTGAATTCTGATGGCTTCCTCTCATATTGAAGTTAAGACATTTTGCTTTAGATTTTTAAAGGATTATTTGTTTTAATTTTTCAAGAGGATATTCTATTATTCTGCTAAATCCTTTTTCTTCCCTCTTAGGCACAGATGGGGGTTAATGTAATTTGGGGCCAGACATAAAGAAATTTCAAAAGAAAAATGTTAAAAATTGGATAGGTGTACTACAAGCCAAAAATACAAAATTAGAAAGTGTGGGTTTAAAACAACAGACATTTTGCCTGATTCTTGGACATACTACCTATTGTCCTCACTCAGAGGTCCAGGCTCAGAGAAGCAAGAGAAAAAATGGAGAGGAATACATTGCTTCTACCTGGAAGTTACAGGTGTCATTTCCATTCATAGGTCTACGGTCAGACTAAGGCACATGGCTATGCTTAATTTCAAGGGCAGGAGGTGGGGGAAAAGAAATTGCAATCTTTTCCTATGCTGGATAGGATAGGGAATTTGGATTTGGGTATAGAGTAATGTCTACCACTGATGGAAAGCTGGAACTGAGAAATGAATGTTAACAAGAATTAGCTCCAGAATTATATATATTTATTTATTTCAGAATATATATATATTTATTGATTTCAGAGAGGAAGGGAAAGGGAGAGAGAGATGAAAACATCAATGAGAGAAAATCATTGATCGGCTGCCTCCTGCACACCCCCTACTGGGAATTGAGGTCATAACCCAGGCATGTGCCCTTACCTGGAATTGAACCATGACCTCCTGGTTCATGGGTGGATACTCAACCACTGACCAACACCAACCGGGCTAGAATTTTTGAAAATATCAGGGAGGCCCTTGAACTTCCCACCAAGCAGAGAATAGCACATTCAAACAACCTTTACCTAAACAGCAACGGTGAGTAACTGACAAAGGGTTGCTGCAATCACAATTCTCACTTTCCATAAGACCTCGCACTCCCTCTTCTGAGCAATACTGACTTAGCCGGGAGCCCCTTCAACATACTGTGAAAGAAATAGACCTTTGGGATCAACTGATTAGGAGACTGATCTCTTCGCGGAAACACTGGGAGTGTTTTCAGTTGGAAGCTGCTGTGTGGAATCAGGAAAAAGGGACAACAATCTGGGAGAAGCTGTGTGAACAAAACAATCTGGGAGAAGCTGAAAGAAGGTTTTTAGAGCCACAGTTTATGGGGGAGAAAGAGCCCAGTTTCATTCCACGTTTCTGCTTTTGTTTTGTATAAGTCTATTCGAAGTGGCATTTGCATGAGATGAATATAAAATTCACTTGAGATGTTTTTCAAAACGTGTCCCCACTAGATGGCGAAAGGTGCTCACCAATTTTGAACTGATCTCAAGGACCCGTGCAAAGTAGGGGGTGAAGAACTTCAAAGCAAAATATTAATCACACAATTGGGGGTATGAACTTCTATATTAAGAAGCCTTATTATAGTGCATTAAATGAGCATAACCTAGTATTTCTAGAGCTTGATTATGTGGTTTTTCTCTCTAAAAACACATTTAAATAATCACATATTAAAAATATTGATTGATTCTGACACATAACACACAATGAATACATGAGCGAATCATGTATAAGTATCATGGATTAACTGTACTTATAAAACAGGAGATGTGGCTATTTATTTATAGTAAACTAATCGTTCACTCAAGCTACCAATATACCTGAATACTATATGCGAAGCCTGCCTTGAGACTCTTCCTGGCAGCCATCTAGGGGAGTGGTGAAGAGCAGATCTTTGGGGCTCTGAGCTTGTACTTTAGTTTCTACCACTTATTAGTTATGACCTTGAAAAGCTACTCAACCTGTTTGGAATTCTTACTAAATGAAAAATAAATACAGAAGTTGGCCACTGTTCATTGGGTATTTTGTTGTATGCAGACGGACACATTCTATCCAGTAAAATCATTATTCTGTGAGGCTGTTTTAGATGAGATTAACAGGTACCGGTAAATTGGCGGACTTTGAGTAAAGCAAATTGCCCTCCCTAATGTGGGTGGGCCTCATCCAATCAATTGAGGCCTGAATAAAACAAAAGACTCACCCTCCCTCCAACCGAGGGAGAGTTCTGGACTCAAACTGCAACTGTTCCCTGAGTCTCACCTTGCAGATTTTGGACTCACGAAGCCTCCACAAGCACGTGAGCCAATTCCTTAAAATAAGTCTCTCTCTTATGTGTACAACTCCTCTTTCTCTGGAGAACCCTGACTAAGACAGGTGTCCTGTGAGTGGGGCTGATTTTTTCTCTCTCCTGAACAGACTGCTGGGACACATTCTCCGGTGGAGGAATCTCCAACTGCAAATCCCTCAGCAGTGGCCATGTCTATTCTGCAGTTGCTCAGAGTGTCTCCCTCAGCCACTGGCTTCTTGTTATCTACTCCCCTCTGCTGGTGTCATGTTGAGTGTCTCCTTGCAGTCCGCATGCGCGGAAACCAGGTGACCCAATTGCATCTCCCTCACACACGGCGGGCAATGTGCAGTTCACTCCTCAGATTGCCTTTCCCCCTCACAGATGGCTCAGCCAGGCTCGTAGGGAGGGGAGACACCAGAGTGCGTCAGACAACCTTTTCCAAAGGGGTCCCTTACCTCAGTCCTTCCAGCATCAGCTTTTGAGGAAGGTGATGGGTGAAGGGGCACAAAACTGGCTTGGGGACTCATCTGTTCAAGACCTGCATGGAGAGTGAGGGTAGCATTCATTTTGCAATGTGGCATGATCTTTGAAAGGGTCCCTGTATAATTTATTTCTCTTTCCTCTCTCCTCAGATGTGCAAGGTGCAGGCTTTAGGGAAGGGCACCAAGTAAATATTCAGAGGGTGTGGTAGGCTGAATAACAGCCCCACAAGATTCTACGTCCTGGTCCCCATAACCTGTGAATATGCTACTTTACAGGGCAAAGGGGATTTTGCACATGCGATTAAGGGTTTTTAAGGTGAAGAAACTATTCTGGATTATGTGGGTGGGCCCAATGTAATCACGAGGATCCCTGTAAAAGAAAGAGGGTGACAGGAAGGTCAGAGTCAGAGAGGAGATGTGATGATGGAGGCAGAGGTTGGAATGATGCGGGTCATGAGCCAACATAGTTGGCCTCCAGAAACTGGAAAAGACAAATAAATGATTCCTTCCTAGAGCCTCCAGAAGCAACAGGGCCCTGTGAACCCATCTTTAGCCTTCAGGAGGAAGGAGCTGTGAGCGAATACAGGTGGGTTGTTATAAACCAGTACATTTGCGGTCATTTGTTACAGCAGCCACAGGAGACTAATACAGATGTTCTCTCAGGACATCTGCCACTAAAAATATATCATGCATGCATGACATAAGTGTAGAAGAGAATATTTCCCTGTTGTGAGCATAAAATTATCTTGATATAAGGGAGGATGTTATTGGTATTCCTATTTAACCATAGCAATGTAAAAATAAAAAAGATACTCCATTACAAGGTTCAATTACATAGTCAGTGACATTTTCGTTTCTTTTTTTTTGTTTTCTGTTTTGTTTTGTTGACATTTTCTTTTTCTTTTTTTAAAATATATATTTTTTTTTATTTGAGAGAGGAAGGGAGAGGGAGAAAGAGATGGAATCATCAATGATGAGAGGGAATCATTGATCGGCTGCCTCCTGCACACCCCCTACTAGGGATTGAGCTTGCAACCAGGGCCTAAGTCCTGAACAGGAATTGAACCATGACCTCCTGATTCATAAGTCGACATTCAACCACTGGGCCATGCTGGCCAGGTATCAGCGACACATTTAATGACTTAAAAAAATTAGAATGAAGAATAACACAGACCAAATATTCAATAAAAGCACAGCAGCCTTATGAGAAAATATAAGCTTTTTTGCTGTTTTGAGGTTCAGATATGGATTTATAAATCCCAGCTGCACCATTTCAAAACCTGGAGTAGTTACTTCATCATTCTGAAGTTGTATTTTTATCTGTGTGATGGAGATTACCTGAGGAGAAAATAAGATACGGCATGTAAAACACTTAGCGTAATGTTGGCATAGGGTTGAATTAAGAGAAACAAGTCATCTGACTCTCTTATATTTATAAAATTGTCTTAGCAAGACTCTTGATAGAAGGAGGCATATACTGGCATTTCTCTTTAAATGGTAGTGAAACCAATATTTTTTAAAAAAAGATACGTCATTAGAAAGTCAAGTTATGTAATCAGTGACAGAACTGAGACATGACCCCATATAGCAGATTTTCATTGGCCAACAGTTGGCTAGGGGTTTTGTCATGCCTAATTGATAAAAAGAGCCAGGGTAGAATGACTTTCTTTATTCCCTACTTTTTTTGGCAGATAATAAGTAAAGGTGATGACTATGGAATAAAGAAGGTAGAAGGTGACACATACAACGTCTGGAAAACTTCAGGAAAACACCCTTCCTTCCTCTCCTTGCCCCCTCCTCCACCTGGAGACCTATTTCCCACAAGGATGTAAGATATAATAAACTTTATTTTTAACTTTGAAATGATTATAGATTCACAAAAATTGTAACAATAATACATCAGGTTCCATGTATTCTTCATTCAATTTCCCTACTGGTCACATCTGATGTAAATATCGCACAATATCAAAACCAGGGAAATTGTCGTTGTTCCATCACCATAAAGATGTCCCTCCAGCTATGCATCCTTTGTACTTTACATCCAGTCCCTGCCTCCTTCAGCCTCTCACCGTGTCCCCAAACGCTGGCAAACACTAGTCTCTTCTCTATTTTTATAATTTTTTTCTTTTGTGAATGAACAGTTTGTGACCTTTGGGGACTGGCTTTTTTCTTTCACTCAGCATAATGCCCTGGCATCCATCCAAGTTGCTTCATGTATCACCACTTTCTTCCTGTTTATTGCCAAGTAATATTCCATAGGCAGAATGTACCATAGTATGTTTCATAATTTACCCCTTAAAGAATAGTTGAGGTGTTTCCAATTTGGGTTTTTATAAATAAAGCAGCTATGAATATTCATGCAGACTTTTTTGTAGACATAAGTTTTTATTTCTCTGGGATCAATGCCCAGGAGTGGGATTCCTGGATCATATGGTAAGTGTATGTTTAGTGGGTTTTTTTCAATTGCCAAACTGTTTCCCAAAGTGGCTGTACCATTTTTACATGTCCACTCTCAATTCTGAGAGAACTATTTTTTTTTTGTATTTTTGCCAGCATTTTAAAAATTTTAGTGGTTCTAATAGGTGTGTAGTGATATTTCATTGCAGTTTAATTTACATTTCACTGATAACTAACAATGTCGACTGTCTTTTCACATCTGTTTGCCATCCATATAACCTGTTGATGAAATGTCTTTCTGTGGCTTTTGCTCATTTTCTAATCAGATTGTTTATTTCCAGATGGGTTAGGAAAGGTTTTTTTTTTATATCAAAGACCCTAAATACTATCACATTGGGAGTTAGGAACTTCAATATACAAACTTTGGGGTCACACAAACATTTAGTCCATAATGCAGGTGATGTCCAAGGACCAGTGGCTCCTTGCTCATTCCCTCATGGCTTATGGAACTTAGAACCAACTGACAAATACATGGAAAGACAAAGAACTTAAATTGAAAACAATTATTTCATTAAAAAAAAATATATGGGTGGTTGTCCTGGCCATGTGGCTCAGTTGGTTGGAGCATCATCCTCTTAAGGTTTTGGGCTCAAACCATGGTTAGGGTGTGGAAGGAAAGCAACTGATCAATGTTTCTTCTCTTTCTCTCTCTCTCTCTCTCTCTCTCTCTCTCTCTCTCTCTCTCTCTCTCTCTCTCTCTTCCTCTGCCTCCCTCTCTAAAAATCAATAAGAACATACCTTTGGGTTAAAAAGTATATGGGTGGTTTATCATGAATTGGCAAGAGTAAAGTTCATTCTACACGGGAATTCCGTATGGCGATAACCTTGAGATGCTGAAAAAAAGCATTACATATTTTTGTTCAGCAAGTCTGCACCTGTGCGATCCAAGCCTGCTATTTGTTACACAGGCAAGAGGCTCTCTCCCTGCCAGCCAGGCAACAAGCCCCTGAGCACCATAAAAACAACCTGATGACAGCTCTGTTGCTAGGTCTTGATTTCATGGACTGCAATATAGCTCTTGGCATCAACCATAAAACCAACACCTTTGCCTCAGTCAAACCCTTTTTGCAAAGGCTCTCTGGCCATCTCTCAACATCTGGAAAAGATTTGGCAAGTCTTCAGGGACAAAACACACCCTGTGGATCAACTCCAGGCTTTTCTGGCTTCTGCCTTCATGCCTGGGAGTCAAAGAAGGTAGCAGGGTGGGGCAGTGATGTGGGCATGAAGCAGGTTGCACGGAACCTCCCTCGCTATCAGAGCATCAGCGAAGCCTCTGTGCTATGCCAGGTTTCCTGTGGTCCCAGGTTAACACCCAGAAAACCAGGACACCACTTGTTGGTCCAGGCATCCTTCCAAAAGAAAATAAAGATGACTAAAAATAAAAAAAGTTAATTTACAAAAGTTAAAAAAAGTAGAAAAGAAAAATGATTCTTAACTTTGCACTGAGACGGTTTGGTGTTTAATGAGCATTTCTGTAGGGACAAACCACCATTCACTGGCAAATATGTCTTCAGCACTATTTACCTGGCTTTGCATTACACACCAATGCAGATGCAGATGAGTAAAGACAGCTATCCACTGCTTATGCCGAGAGAGAGTGAAGGACTGGCTGTGATTTTGTGTGTGTGCACCTTTAGGAAATCAGGCGAAATTAAAGCTCATTATACCTTCTGATGACCACAGAAATATGAACATTATAGTATTACATATTATAAACTTTAAACATGTTTCAGAGTGAGAAATGCTCTTGGTGTGTGTTTGGAGAATGATCGTAGCAGTTTCTGTGTGCAGATGTTTGGGGGGGGGGGAGTAGGAGTGGAGTACCTTAAAGAGGCAATAGATAAACAGAGGTCGGAGTGGGAAAATTGGTGGATTAGAACTTGCATCTCTCACCATGTAGAATTCAAGTCTATCAAAATTTAATACTCTAAGAGAAGATTAAGAGCCAGATGGAGTATTATCTAGGGTATCCAAAAAATGTATGCACACTTTGAATTGTATTAAAGTCAGAGTTTATTAACATACAGTTCATTTTCAAAATTTAAAAGAATCTACAGAAATTTATATACATATATATGTTTTGTCAATGCCTGTTTTCAAACTGATGATCATCCTGGTCCAGGCACTGCTGATAATACAGAGCAATGGAATCACAAGCATCAAGAGTCATTTCATTCAGTATTTGTGCATCCTCAATTCCTCAACTGTTGCCGGTTTTGTATGGTAAACTTTATCTTTTATGAATCCCCATAAAAAAGTCTGGTAGATAAATGTTCTTTGTTCAAAGCTTAGTCTGGCTTCACCCATTATTTCATATCAGTTAAATCTGAAAAGGAGTGAAATTTAAGCTGTTAATACACACACTTGGAATAATTATAAAGGCAGTGTTTGTATTTCAACTGCGTTTTCCAACTTCCAGTAGCATTTTAGGATGAATTTCCTTTGTTCAAAACTTAGTCTTGTTGAAAAGAAAGAAACATCATGAAGGCCTGGGGCAGGGGATGGGGGTGGGATAAAAGAGGTCAATGAGGGGAAAAGGGGGACATATGTAATATTTTCAACAATAAAGATTTAATTTAAAAAAGAAAGAAAGAAACATCAATTGAGCTATCAGCTGTTAAAGTGTGTATACATATTTTTGGGACACCCTGCATTGAGGGTCTAAAATTCAGTGGTCTTTCCCCAGTTGTTATAACTTTTACAAAGATGAATAAATAATAAAGAGGGATAATTGTGGGTTAAAATGCTTTGGCAGTTGCGGACTCAATATTTTGTTTTTCTTTGAAAATATGCCCTTTGGCCCATCAAATCCATTTTGGGAAATTTATCATACAAATAAACCTGCTCACATACAAAATGATGTAGGTAACACTTATTCATTACAGCATTGTTTCTAGTGCCCACAGATTAAAAAGAGGCAAAACCTCCAGAGAGGTAAAACCTTTTTATATCTAAGGTCCTGCATCACTCAGTGGCCATGCAAACTGGTGTTCTAGGAATTCCCAATGAAAAGCACAACATGGAAAGCTAACCATCCGAGTGTTCCTTACTTATTCAAAAAACATTTCTCAAGCTCGGCTGATGGGCCGGATGCTGACAAAATGTGCAAAGATAAATAAGACATGGCACCTGTCCTCCACTGGGTCTTGGTTTAGTGAGGAAGACAGACAGGTAAGCAAAGAGATTAATCCTGAGCAAGTAGCACATTCACAGTACTCAAAAACCAGCTATCCCTCCCTTCCTCTGCTGGATGGTGCCTGTACTCATCCTCTCATCACTCCACCTTCCCTATTTCCTTCATTGTTTATGTTTCCTGGGATTTCTTCATGCAAATACATATAATTATGAATATACTTTAAAAAATATTCTTCCTTTCTTACATTAAAGACAGCCTGCAGTATGTACTCCACTTGCTCTTTTTTTCTTAATAATGTAGTATTTTGGATGCTTTCTACCAATCCATAGACAGTTTCCTCGTTATTTCTTCCAGTATCATGATGTCACTTTATATTTGATCAGACTCTTGTTAATGAACTTTTGGATTGTTTTTAATCTCTGGGCACTAGAAACAATGCTATAATGAATAAGTGTTACCTACATCATTTTGTATGTGAGCAGGTTTATTTGTATGATAAATTTCCCAAAATGGATTTGATGGGCCAAAGGGCAGATGTATGTGCAGATTTGATAAAGATTGCCGCCAGAGGTTTACGTTGCTTATTAGGAACATCACATTAATCTGTAGAGCTTCCTACATGTACAATTATAGACAGTCACTCAGCCCAGATGAATCCTGGGTGCATAGTCCATGGCACTGATGCCATTAAAAAGTACTTGTGCCCAACTGGCATGGCTCAGTGGTTGAGCGTAGACCCATGAGCCAGGAGGTCATGGTTCAATTCCTGGTGGGGGCACATGACCGGATGGCAGGCTCTATCCCCATTGTGGGGTGTGCAGGAGGCAGCCAATCAATGATTATCTCTCATCATTGATGTTTCTCTCCCTTCATCTCTGAAATCAATACAAAATATATATTTTAAAAAGCACTTGCATTCATCTATTCACTTTGCAGTATTGATAAGGGGAACTAGCATGGGTAACAGAAATAGTAATACTTTCTATCATTTCCAGATGTATGGCACAATGTTTGTAGGGTGTGTGGGCAGGATTTCTAAATCATCTGGGAGGTTTTTCAAATGATATGTGTCACTCCCAGTGACTTCCTCCCTCTCACCCCCAACGTACACTTTCCCCTGGGGACATAACCCCCTTTCACTCTTCCACCCAAAGGCTCACAGTGAGACACTGTCATTAATGGGAGTGATAAAAACTTTAGAGCAAAGAAGAGTTCTTC